AGACGTGTGCTCTTCCGTCTCCCGTTGTCCGATCGAGCTCAGTTTTTACACAATTTTTTTTTCATCAAATGGAACAACTTTAGGAGGAAAACAACTTTCATGAAAAAAATTCAAAAGTCAAAAGTAAGGTCCACCCTAATGTGTATATATCTATCGGCAGCTGTCGAAAAAGAACAGTTTTTTCGCGGCAAGCATATTTCCGATTCATTATTCGTAAAAGAATGATACACCTCTATAAGGATAGAAAACTCAACTTAATTTGTATGTTGCACGGTTTATGCTGTTGACTTTCTTATATCACATAAAGCAGAAGATTTCTTGATGAAGATAATTTGAAACTGTTACTTTAGATTATAACAAAATGCACAATGGTATATCCGTATATCCACAATCACAATGGTATATTTTATATACTTTCAAATAGTTCGCTTCAAAATTCAAGATAAGATGACTTGGTATCATCATTTAGCCCATATTACAAGCAATCATAAAATATAATTAATAAAGCTAGAAATTTTTAGTTTTTTTTTAAAATTAAGAAATTTTTTAATAGTAAAGATTTTGGCAAAACATATCGTTGCTTTGTTAAATAAACTTGCCAAGCACTCATTATCTGTCATCTCTTTGATATATCTATCTAGAAAATTATATTAATTAAACTTAAACAGTAAGGTTGTTTAAATTCACAATCTCGTTGCAATTCAAAAAGGAGACATTTGCAGTGGTAGAAATATCCGACAAATCATATTCTGTTCCCCACGTGTGTGTAAAACGGATACATTCTGTAGAACACCGTTAGTGTAGTATTTATGCTTGTATAGTTTAAGACAGATAATAAAAGTTAAGATTTCGTGTAATGAAATATAATTATGTAATTATACAATAATACTGTATAACTTCCATATACGTTCGATCAATACTAAACAGATTCGAGTAATCATATAGATCGTCCCAAATTAATATTTGCTTGATATAAGAGTTTTATATATATAAAACAAGCTTCAGCCGGACTGGGACTTATATGAAAGAATAGTACTGTGCTTTTACAAATGAGCCTAGGTACTTTAATATAAGAAAAAAGATTGTATAAAAATGCGAGTGTATGTATGCGTGCGACATTGATGTAGTAGTAAACATCAACACATCACTACACACTACTACATCAATATCGCACCCATACATGTGCACAAAATGAAGGCGCAAAAAATCAGAGAAAAACATTTTAAAAAAATTATAGGAAATATGTATTTTGTAGGAAAGATTGTGCTCTTTACAATTTTTGTTCTAATCATTTTTTGCATAAAAATAACGATTTCGGAGATATTTGTGATGAAAAGACGTGCTAAAGCGATTGTTTTCTTTGTGCACATTAATTTCCGTAATTTTAAACCCTAATTGAAAGAATTCTATGGAAATTAGCTTTATAGTGTATCAAACCTTTCTTATGCAGAATTTCATGACGAATTTTTTTAGTCCTATGATTTTTTCACGTCCGAGTAACAATTTAGAAGATAAATGAGGAAAACTCCAAACGAGACTGCTCCAGGGGTAGTTTTTCGTCCAAAAAAGGATGTTTCATCCACGATTAAGGTGGGAACTTGTTAGACTTCTTTTTCTAATTTTTTTGATAATTTACTTACAAAAAATCAAAACTATACATAAATTTTTTCTTCTATTTAACCATTTTTTGTCTAATTTACCTGGATTAATAATAATTTTGCCATGTTAGATTTAGAATTTCTGAAGTGTTTTATTTTCAAGTGTTTCCTTGATTTAACTATAATACTATAATACAAGTATTAAAAATAATTTTAAAGGAAATAGGCTGTCGAGAATAAATCAAATACATATATTAAAGTAGAGGCTTATGCAAGCCAACACGGGTGTTGGTGCGTAATAATTCTTTTTACAATATCTAACCACACGCAAACTGCACGCCGCATATTCGTTGGTCTTGAAACACAGTTCATTACATGAGGCCGGAATCACTTGTAACAAATTAAATCGACTAGCATTTAAATTTTTAGTCGATTTAATTTGTTACAAGTAATTCCGGCTTCAATTTTTGACAAGTAATTAATTTAATTGGAACAAAATCATTATTATTAAAGCTAAATTACTGTTAAAAGTGACTCCTTTATCACGAATTTTGATTACCTTCCCACTTTATTTTATTTAGATGAATAAAAGTGCTACCATCGTACTATTCACCAACCCAACAAACGTAAGATTACATGTGTAAACTACTTACGTTACACTTTTAGGCTAAAATTGACTCATTTTATCCATTATCCTTTAATAATGTATATTATGATATTATTTAAAGCATTTGTCCGGATAAAGTTCAGATTTCCTTTCACAGGAAACAGTTTCCTTTTTTATCAAATTTAAGCGCCAAAAATTTAAATTTGTTAAATATTTAACAAGATTACAAAGTGAAATATTGGTATAATATGAATATTGAATTGTATAATAAGCATATAAATATACTTTTACATAATTAAAAAAATATGGGATAAAATATACCTATAAGGAATTTATACCGAGTTTAGTTCGACATTGGAGCTGTTGGAACGAAATATTATGTCATATCTGGCTCGACATTGGGTTAAAACTTCCTCGCCATTCGATTCCTATAAAAGCTATTCAAAGTCTTTAAATCGAGACGAGCATGTCGTACGAGCTGCGTATAAGAGACGCTTGATAAAACGCAGCACACCCACAGGTCGCAGATACTCCGCAGGAGATACCCTTTCTGAGTGTCTTGCAGCATCTGCTGCGGCTGGATCCAAAAGACGCCGCCAGCGATCTAGCATGGGACACCGCGGAGACCCTGGTGCATCGAGCCACGTTACTGGAGAGTCGGGAGGACGCCACCAAGTTGCTGAGGTCGCCTAGTCTTCAAGTAAATGCTCGCATTTTTTTTCTCATTTATAATCCTTACAAAAACAAGAGAATACGGAAAGAACGATTTTGTTGAAAGATCTAAAAATTTTGCTAAAAACAGATCTGAAAATAATTTTTTGTTGAATCATCAAAATAATTTGTTGGAATGTTAAAACTGATAATGCATTACTATAAAACGTTTTGATATTCTAACAATCACTGACTTTCACACAAAATTATTTTGATTATTAAACAAAAATATTTTTAGATCTGGATTCAGCAAAATTCTTTGGCAAAATTGTTCTTTCGTGAAGAGAAATATCAAAAATCCGCAATGCTGTATCGTAAAATAGGAATCGTAACAGTGCCGGATTTAAAGAAATGGGGGGCTCCTGGGAATGGCGGCTGAATCAATAAGAGGGTCCTTAATAAGTGTAAGAAATCAAAATCATTGAAAACTCATTTAAATAGATCATGAATCCTCAAGCGATCAACTTAACTGAAAATAATTTTGTTGGAAACAAAAAAATGATGAGCATTGCTGTAAAATGTTTTGATGTTCTGGTAACTAAACTTCCAACAAAATTATTTTCAGATCTGTGTTCAGCAAAATTTTTAGACCTTCCAGCAAAATCGTTCTTTCTGTGTGGAGGCCCCCAATTTGTGAGGGCGGCCGCCCAATCCGCCCTCCTTCAAATCCGGCACTGGTGATACCTCATAATCGCAACACTTTTCCAATCGCTTCTTGTGAGAATTACCTATTATATATTAGCGTGACAAGGGTGATTGTACGCAACTTCTTTTGCACGTAAACGAGAGTCGCGACGGTAAATTTACCGACTCTATCTGTTTACGACTATGTTTTTCTCGGACTTTCGCCGATTGCGCAATCGACGGCGACGTATCCGTCAACGGAGGTATAGACGTTGCGATGTGTGTTACACACCCGCGTTACATCAGCGATCCACGCTTAAATTTCGTGACTACCACGATCGCGAGGATCGTCGTCAATGTCAACCGCGCTAACGTATAGGCTAATGTAATACTCGCCATGTACTTTTACTTTCTGACCGTACTTGACCGAAAGACGCGAGTCCATAAAAGAAGAAACCCGTACCACGCGCTTTGTGTCGATGAATCACGAAGAGTACCTTCACACATTTATCCGCGCTCCTTCCGTCAGTCCGTCGCGCGATGATTTTGCAAAGCAATAGATTTACCTTTAAAATGTGATTTCAAAGATATTTCTCACATTCTTTTTTGCGGATGACAGAGTCTCAATCAAGGCATTGCACGCACCAGCGTAATAAATATAAATAAATATAAAGTATAGTCGCACCAAATTCTGTTCCTAAAAAAATGGATTTATTTCATAATTAAAATAAAAATGAAATGTGTGTACTTGAAAAAAAGTTTACACTGAAAGAAAAGTGTTTAATATTTGTGACTGTATAATTATATTTTGGTTTAATGAAAAATTATCAAATGGCTTAAAACAAGCCATTTTTATTTTAAATTTCAATGAAAGCTCCAAAGATTGATTTGAAAGTAGTATCAATAGAAAGTTTAAAGCGTTTAGTGAGAATTTAAAACTTTACCGTTTGAAGAAATTTGTGAAAATAAAAGATGAAAATTTTTAATAGTTATAATTATTTTTAATTTGTAACAGTCAATTCAATAAGACAAGTGTATTTCATGCTGTTTGTTTATTTTAATTATGAAATAAATTTTTCTTATTGTTAGAAACAAGATTATGAGCAAGTATAAAAAATAATATACTTTTTGTCACATGAAATATACTTACTTTATACACTTTGTATAATTGGCTGCACGTAGAATAAGCAAATAAAATATGTATCCAACAATTAACAATACTCGTGGAACTCGAGCAGACGAATCTATGCTGTCACTGTCGCGGCGCCGATCAGACGTGCGGAACGTCGCGAAAGGCGTCACTACCGGCGAGCAACAGTTTGACGGCACCCTTACCACCGCCGCCACCCCCGGTCCCTGCAGCGCCGAATCCACTAACTGCAACGAGCGGTAGCGGTTTTGTTCTGCCGCCGCCGCCCCCGCCACCACTTTTCGCCAACGTCGCCACGTCCGATGCACCGATGGAGCCGCCGATGCCGCCACCCCTACGCGTGTCTCCCGTCGCACGCGCACCTACCCCCGAGCCACCCAGTAATCATGCCAAGCTGCTGCCGCAACAAGAAATTCCTACCCCTAGAACGAAGATGAAGACCATCAACTGGAACAAAATACCTAATCACAAGGTATCCAAGAGAAGACTCGTTGAGGATTTAAATCGCAATAAATATCAATAATAATAATACATTTATAAATAACGTTATTTTCTTTAAAAAATGCTCTTGAATTAAATTAAAAAACCTTAAATTAAATAGAGAAAATTCTTAAATGAAGAGAAAAATTTATGTCATTAACATACACGGAAAGAACGATTTTGTTGAAAAATCTAAAAATTTTGCTAAAAACAGATCTGAAAATAATTTTTTATTAAATCATTAAATTAATTTGTTGGAATGTTAAAATTGATAAACATTGTTATAAAACGTTTTGATATTTTAGAAATCATTTTAACTTTCGCACAAAATTATTTTGATTATTGAACAAAAATAATTTTCAGATCTGGATTCAGCAAAATTGTTCTTTCCGTGATAGGGATTATAAGAAAGAGTTAGTCACAAGTAATACGTGAATACATCAATATAAAAGTCTTTAATTAAAAATAAAAAATCTAAAAATGAAGGAAATAATGAGAAATTAAATTTATAGTATGTCAAAATTCTTTTTTTTTCTTTTTCATTTTATTTTTATGTCATAGGTAATTGGCAAACGGAACATCTGGTCCCTCGTCGCGAATGATCATCAGAATTCTCCAATGGCAGATCTAGATTGGGCCGAAATGGAGGGCTTATTCTGCCAACAAGCACCGCCGATGATACCAGCAACCTATTCGACTTCTTGCGGTACTGGCGCTGATGTCGAACGACGTCGTCGAGAACCGACAGAGGTTACTCTCATTTAACGTTATTTTGCCTTGCAAGGAAAAAAATAATAACAAATTCTATATGTTATACTTTCGATTGTTTTCTTTTTAAACTAGATCGCGTTGCTCGACGGAAAGAGGAGCCTGAACGTAAACATTTTTCTAAAGCAGTTTCGAAGGTATGATAAAAATAACATAAATATTAACAAATACTCTGCATAAAAAAATGATTGTCTTAAAAATTGATAGGAGCACTATAGGTATTTTATGTTATTGTAGTATTATTATCATCTGCATATTTTCGTATTCTTTATTCAGTTCAAACGAGGACATTATCCAACTGATCAAGGAGGGTGGTCACGATGATATCGGCGCGGAGAAGCTGCGTGGTCTGCTGAAAATATTGCCGGAGGTGGACGAGCTCGAGATGCTCAAGGGCTTCGATGGCGACAAGTCGAAGCTCGGTAACGCTGAGAAGTTCTTTCTGCAGCTTATTCAAGTGCCAAAGTAATAGTTTGTTACATAATACCTAGAGAAAAAATTTAATGTTCCTTAATAAGAGAAAAATAATGACGATTGATATATTAGTTATAAGTTACGCATCGAGTGCATGCTGCTGAAGGAAGAATTTGCCGCGAATATGAGTTACTTGGAGCCAAGTATCAACTCGATGATCTTGGCCGGTGAGGACCTCATGACGAACAAGCCCCTGCAGGAGGTGCTGTACATGGTCCTCGTCGCTGGTAACTTTCTCAACTCAGTACGTATTTTTGCCTGTTATCGAACATCGAATTCTGGACAATGTCGATCCAGATAGATTTGGAATATTGCAACGACGTTGCAACATTCCATGCTACCTACGGGAATACGGAATAAGCAAAAGTCGGTTATCGCGTTTATAGGGCGGCTATGCTGGCAATGCAGCGGGTGTGAAGCTGTCCTCGTTGCAGAAGCTAACGGAAATTCGCGCGAACAAGCCAGGGATGAATCTAATACACTACGTAGCATTGGTAAAACATCGATTATTTATAATTATACGATTGAATAAAATCGAATTTGTATATATATCCAGTAAGAACTTAAGAAAACGAATTCTTTTGTAATTAAGATTATGTATATTCTAGCAAGCCGAGAGAAAACGGAAGGATTTATTAAGCTTTGCAAAGGATATAACTGCCCTCGAAGCAGCGACAAAGTAAGAATAATTATTTATATATATACATACATATATATATATATATATATACAGGGTAGGAAAAAAGTACCAGGACACCTAAATAACTTTTGAACGGTTCGAGATATTGGATTAAAATTTATAGGGTTACAATGGTAAAATAGATCGGAAGAGCACA